TACTACTATACTACTACTACTACTACTACTACTACTACTACTATACTACTACTACTACTACTACTACTACTACTACTACTACTACTACTACTACTACTACTACTACTACTACTACTACTACTACTACTACTACTACTACTACTACTACTACTACTACTACTACTACTACTACTACTACTACTACTACTACTACTACTACTACTACTACTACTACTACTACTACTACTACTACTACTACTACTACTACTACTACTACTACTACTACTACTACTACTACTACTACTACTACTACTACTACTACTACTACTACTACTACTACTACTACTACTACTACTACTACTACTACTACTACTACTACTACTACTACTACTACTACTACTACTACTACTACTACTACTACTACTACTACTACTACTACTACTACTACTACTACTACTACTACTACTACTACTACTACTACTACTACTACTACTACTACTACTACTACTACTACTACTACTACTACTACTACTACTACTACTACTACTACTACTACTACTACTACTACTACTACTACTACTACTACTACTACTACTACTACTACTACTACTACTACTACTACTACTACTACTACTACTACTACTACTACTACTACTACTACTACTACTACTACTACTACTACTACTACTACTACTACTACTACTACACTACTACTACTACTACTACTACTACTACTACTACTACTACTACTACTACTACTACTACTACTACTACTACTACTACTACTACTACTACTACTACTACTACTACTACTACTACTACTACTACTACTACTACTACTACTACTACTACTACTACTACTACTACTACTACTACTACTACTACTACTACTACTACTACTACTACTACTACTACTACTACTACTACTACTACTACTACTACTACTACTACTACTACTACTACTACTACTACTACGCGATCTATTGGACTTGAGTTTTACCTTGTGTCCTTTTTTTGCAGTCAGCAGATTCTTTTGTTGGACATTGTTTATTGAGTTTCTTGTTGCTTTTGGTTTACGCATATGCGTCATTTGCCCGTAAAAGAGGCCTTACTACTACTACTACTACTACTACTACTACTACTACTACTACTACTACTACTACTACTACTACTACTACTACTACTACTACTACTACTACTACTACTACTACTACTACTACTACTACTACTACTACTACTACTACTACTACTACTACTACTACTACTACTACTACTACTACTACTACTACTACTACTACTACTACTACTACTACTACTACTACTACTACTACTACTACTACTACTACTACTACTACTACTACTACTACTACTACTACTACTACTACTACTACTACTACTACTACTACTACTACTACTACTACTACTACTACTACTACTACTACTACTACTACTACTACTACTACTACTACTACTACTACTACTACTACTACTACTACTACTACTACTACTACTACTACTACTACTACTACTACTACTACTACTACTACTACTACTACTACTACTACTACTACTACTACTACTACTACTACTACTACTACTACTACTACTACTACTACTACTACTACTACTACTACTACTACTACTACTACTACTACTACTACTACTACTACTACTACTACTACTACTACTACTACTACTACTACTACTACTACTACTACTACTACTACTACTACTACTACTACTACTACTACTACTACTACTACTACTACTACTACTACTACTACTACTACTACTACTACTACTACACTACTACTACTACTACTACTACTACTACTACTACTACTACTACTACTACTACTACTACTACTACTACTACTACTACTACTACTACTACTACTACTACTACTACTACTACTACTACTACTACTACTACTACTACTACTACTACTACTACTACTACTACTACTACTACTACTACTACTACTACTACTACTACTACTACTACTACTACTACTACTACTACTACTACTACTACTACTACTACTACTACTACTACTACTACTACTACTACTACTACTACTACTACTACTACTACTACTACTACTACTACTACTACTACTACTACTACTACTACTACTACTACTACTACTACTACTACTACTACTACTACTACTACTACTACTACTACTACTACTACTACTACTACTACTACTACTACTACTACTACTACTACTACTACTACTACTACTACTACTACTACTACTACTACTACTACTACTACTACTACTACTACTACTACTACTACTACTACTACTACTACTACTACTACTACTACTACTACTACTACTACTACTACTACTACTACTACTACTACTACTACTACTACTACTACTACTACTACTACTACTACTACTACTACTACTACTACTACTACTACTACTACTACTACTACTACTACTACTACTACTACTACTACTACTACTACTACTACTACTACTACTACTACTACTACTACTACTACTACTACTACTACTACTACTACTACTACTACTACTACTACTACTACTACTACTACTACTACTACTACTACTACTACTACTACTACTACTACTACTACTACTACTACTACTACTACTACTACTACTACTACTACTACTACTACTACTACTACTACTACTACTACTACTACTACTACTACTACTACTACTACTACTACTACTACTACTACTACTACTACTACTACTACTACTACTACTACTACTACTACTACTACTACTACTACTACTACTACTACTACTACTACTACTACTACTACTACTACTACTACTACTACTACTACTACTACTACTACTACTACTACTACTACTACTACTACTACTACTACTACTACTACTACTACTACTACTACTACTACTACTACTACTACTACTACTACTACTACTACTACTACTACTACTACTACTACTACTACTACTACTACTACTACTACTACTACTACTACTACTACTACTACTACTACTACTACTACTACTACTACTACTACTACTACTACTACTACTACTACTACTACTACTACTACTACTACTACTACTACTACTACTACTACTACTACTACTACTACTACTACTACTACTACTACTACTACTACTACTACTACTACTACTACTACTACTACTACTACTACTACTACTACTACTACTACTACTACTACTACTACTACTACTACTACTACTACTACTACTACTACTACTACTACTACTACTACTACTACTACTACTACTACTACTACTACTACTACTACTACTACTACTACTACTACTACTACTACTACTACTACTACTACTACTACTACTACTACTACTACTACTACTACTACTACTACTACTACTACTACTACTACTACTACTACTACTACTACTACTACTACTACTACTACTACTACTACTACTACTACTACTACTACTACTACTACTACTACTACTACTACTACTACTACTACTACTACTACTACTACTACTACTACTACTACTACTACTACTACTACTACTACTACTACTACTACTACTACTACTACTACTACTACTACTACTACTACTACTACTACTACTACTACTACTACTACTACTACTACTACTACTACTACTACTACTACTACTACTACTACTACTACTACTACTACTACTACTACTACTACTACTACTACTACTACTACTACTACTACTACTACTACTACTACTACTACTACTACTACTACTACTACTACTACTACTACTACTACTACTACTACTACTACTACTACTACTACTACTACTACTACTACTACTACTACTACTACTACTACTACTACTACTACTACTACTACTACTACTACTACTACTACTACTACTACTACTACTACTACTACTACTACTACTACTACTACTACTACTACTACTACTACTACTACTACTACTACTACTACTACTACTACTACTACTACTACTACTACTACTACTACTACTACTACTACTACTACTACTACTACTACTACTACTACTACTACTACTACTACTACTACTACTAC